CGCTATAAGGCTATAGTGAAGATTTTAAGAGATTTGATTGGGCAATTCGCTATAACAAGAGTATTTTTATTATATTTATTCAAAAATTCGTTATATCAAGAGTTCGCTATATCAAGAGTTGACTGTAATATATATTATAGCAATCTTAAGACATATTAATTATTAGATTATAATACCCTAGAACATATTAATTATTAGATTATAACACCCTAGGACATATTAATTATTAGATTATAACGTTCTAGAACATATTAATTATTAGATTATAATATCCTAGGACACATTAGTCTTGAACAAGTAGTATCCTAGGACATGTTAATATATTAATATATTAACATGTCCTAGGATACTACTAATATTAAATTTAAATTTTTATTTTTTTATATATTAAAATAATTTATATTTAAAATTATATAAAGAATAAATAAAAGTTTTTAAATACCATTTTATAAATCAAATAATTTAAATACTACTAAATTAATTAAAGTAAAATATTATATATTCTTGATATAATTTCATTTATAATATATAAAAATTTCACTTAATAATTATTAAGAAATATGATAAAAATGATAATTTATAAATATTTTAATTACAAACTTTAACAAAAGTTTAAAAGTATTTAAAATTAATTATTTTAATATTTAGTAATTCAAATTAAATAAAAATTTTAATATATTATAAAAATATATTATAAATATTAAAATGTTAGTTAAATTAAATCATTATTTATTAAATATTTATGTAAATTATTATAAGTAATAATATTAAAATATGTTAATAAATATTAAAATTTTAAATACTATATTTATTATCAAATTATTTAAATCAAATTTTAATATATTATTAATACATTCTTATTTTACAATACATTTAATTTTAATAATAATTATTAAGAAAATGAATAAAATAGTAAATTATAATAGTAATTAAATTTATTTTACAAATTATTTAGATTATATTAAAATAATAAAAATTTAATTTAATTAAAAAATCAATAATATTTAAGCAATTCAATTTATAAAATGGTATTTAGAAACTTTATATATTATTAAATTTATAAATATTTAATTACTGTATATATTTATAAAAGGTTATAAAAATTTTAATTATAATTAATTAAAGATTATATTAAATTTAAATAAAAGTCTTATAATTTTAGAATTAATAAATCCTATTTTTTATTTTTTTTTAAAAAAAATTGCTAAATTAAAAATTTTCTATTATTTGAAATTATATAACAATAATGATAAGTAAAATAAATATTTTATATTTATAATTTTTTTTTTATTAAAATTTAAATATCAAAAATTTTTTATTTTTTAAAAAATAGTCTACTTTACCAATTAAAATAATAATAATAATATTAAAATATTAGTAGAGTTTTTATTTATATAAAAGTTTATTTTATATGAAATCTTTAATTTATGATTTTATTTACTATTTCAATTATATAAATATATTTTTTTCTTATTTAAATTAATATTATCATAAGTTAAGAATTAATATTTTCATTCGTTCAATGATTATTTTATAAGGGCTTTTAGTTAATCGTTTTGCAAATTGCTAAATTAGGTTATATCATTGAAAAATAAAAACAGATCCAACCGCCCCTTTTTTTTTATTAAATAAGCCGTAACCTTGAATAAAAAGCTTGCGATGATAAATTACAAGTTTTTGCCTGGTATGGTGTATATATCTAAATAATAATCTGTCTAACCTATTTAAATATTCTCATATAATAAACTTTGTAAATTTTTTTTTAGATTAGATTTTTTGTAAATATTGATTTATTTATTTATTTATTATTATTTTAAATGAAAACAAATAAAATTTAACTTTATTACCATATCTCATTATATAGTATTAAATAATAAAATTTAAACGTGTTGTCAATAATACATACAAGTTAAATGGGAAAAATAAAAGTAATACTAATTTTTTAAATTAGATGATCATTACCCATTTCAATAATAACAAGTAATTTTGTTCGTACAAAAAAAAAAAAAAAAAAAAAAAAAAAGGTAAGCACCAGAAATGGTTTAAAAGAAAGTTTAACCATTAACTATAAAATTTTTAAAGATATTTTAAATTCCATTGTTCATCAAGAACAATCAGTAAGTAACACAATTGTTTTTAAAGTTCATTATACATTTTTAACTTTTACATTTATAGTCTCATGTTGATGCATAAATATTTACATTACCTTTGATAATACTTTTATTTTTTCTCCACACCAAGTTAATGTCTCTTTTTATTAATTATATTATATTATAATACATTTGATGATGTTTATTTTAACATATGGGGGGTTTTTTTTTTTCAACGTGTATAAAAACATAATTTTAAAATTTAAATTTTTTTTTTTTGAAATGCGATTGACGATGGGAAGGGTGTAACATACAAAAAAACTTGTTGTTTCCTATAATGATATGATTTTAAAAATAAATTAAATACTATTAAAAAGTCGAAAATTTTCGTATATCCGTAATAAATATGATGAATCAATGTAAATGTTAAGTGTATATAAATAAATAAATAAATAAATAATACGTAATATAATAATGACGAGAAATATTGTATCGAAAATTAAAAAAAAAAAGAATGGGTGAATAAAGTGTAATGGTGGAGTAGGAAATCAAATTAAAACCAGCATAATTTAATTTAATTTAACACATAAGAGATTGACATTTTCTCAACTAAAATTTTGTAAAGGGGAAAAAAAAAAAATATTTAAATAAAAGGAACGAGGAGTCCAATTTTTTTTTTGAAAAAGATTTTGTTACAATGACAAACCTCCAGCAACAGGTCCTCTCCTTCTCGTAGAACCATGCGTTTCTACTCTTTTCAAGAAATTGTTTACATGGTTCCGGACCATCAATGGAGTCGCGGACTTCAACTGCTTTGCGATATTGGCCCATTTTGGTGTTTCAGGGTAAACCTTTTCTACTTCCCGAAGAATAAATTCGGACTCCTCGTGCCCGAACTTGCGTTTCTTTACTAGAGAAAAGAGATTTACATTAGTTTGAAAAAATTGAAAAAAGTTGAGATTCACGTAAAATAAATCAAATACCGACTCCCTCTTTTTAGGTGATTTTCCCAACGTTCACGACACTGCTTTCCACTCCGAAATTTGAATGCTTTTGCAATCCTCACCCATTTAGGTCTCGTTACATCGGGTTCCTTATGCACCAAATCTCGTAATCGTTGGTCGTCCTTAAAATAATGATCGATTAAATGGAAATTAATGACATTGTTGCAAAAAAAAAAAAAAATCCTTTGGCCGCAGCCAAATGTCAACACGAATTAATGAAAAGGTTCATCCTTACCATCTTGCTCCAACGTCCTTTCTTAACGACAACAGCACAGTCATAATCTTTCGAACTCATTTTAAATGTCACCTAATTGATAATTACAAGTTTTTTATTGTTTTAAATATAATAAATAAATAAGTGGAAAAAGAATGTGACAAGTAATAAATTATTTATTATATAGGGATAAATTTTTTTTTTTAGGACAAAAGGTGTGAAAAGGAGTGTGGACCAAAGTTCGTCGAGTCAAACTCTTCAGAAACCGGTTTCTAATGCTCTTTATATACAATAAAATCAGTGAAAAAAAAAAAATTTATATATATATACACATACAGTAAAAGAAAAGAAGCGTTGTTGTTAATTTAGATTACCATTTATGAGATAGCAGATTGCAGGGGGGAATTTTTTTTCCTATATTTAGTTACTTTGAAAATCAGCTGATCTACGGAACACCGAGATTTTTTGAGACTCGGTAAAAGGTTCTTTTTTAAAAAACAATTAAAACTACGAAATTCTCCTTTTTCGGCATTGCATTGCTGAAGAAAAATTCCGAATATTATTTTTTGTTTACAACAATACATTCATTCCTCTACGTAGTTTCTTTTTTTTTTGAATCAGTGCAGGGGGAAGGCTTTCTTTATAAAAAAATAAAGATTTTCAAAACAATTTACTTTTCCTGACGGTCTAAATGAAAATGATAAAATTTTACATTCGTCTTATCAACAAAAAAAAAAAAAAAGAAAAGAAAAGTTCAAAAGAATCGGAATGATAGAAATTCTGTCGTTGTTTTAACAAATTTATCAATGATTTTTTTTTGATGGCCACATATTTTACTGGTTGATCTTTACCTGGTATCAATAATATTCCTGCGGCTCATTTTTTTTTATTGAACATTGTTTATCTAATAAAAGTATTAAAAATGGAAATTGATTAGTCATCTCTTTGACAGATTACTTCATTTAGAAACGAATATGATAAATTACAACTCATTCGATAAATGCTCGAATACATATGAATATGCAGGGAAAGAACCTTTGAATCATTGAAACAATAGAAAATGCAAGTTGCTTTTAGGAGAAAAAAAAAAATTTTAAGTTAAAAAAAAAATTCGTTATTAGTAAAAAGCTATTCCAAACAAAAAAAAAGGAAAAAAAAAATATATATATTACGTTTTTTCTTTTCCCAAGTGAAAAAAAACGTAGAAAGTAACACCAAAACCAATCCCTTGTCAATAAGAGACGTTGTAATTGGAATGCTGCATTTGTATGCAACATTTATATATATATATATATATATAAAAGAAAAGAAAAAAAAAAAAAAAAAAAAAAAAAAGTCCCCCTATTCATTGTCATTTAAAGTTTTTTTTTTTTATGATAATAAACCTATTGTTCATGAAACAGGTAGTACCAAATCAACATTTGTCACGATATAGTCGACAACAAATAAACTCCACTAAAATGACGTTTAGATATCAATGAGAAAAACTCGTTTTGGACTATAATCAAGCCAAATCACATAAATATTTATATTTTGCATGTAAATATCGTTTTTTTTTTTTTGTTGGGGAATATTCCCCGGTACTCGAAAAAAAAAGTTCTGCCAATTAAGTAATACATGCGGGGTGCATGAAAAAAAGCACAGGTAAAGGATATATACTATATATATATAACAAGATAAAATCAATTTTTCATTGATGCAACACACGGCTCTTTAATTTGACATCCTATTGACAGAACTTTCCCGATTTTTTTTTTTTTTTTTCTTTTGATTTTAAGTTTATGGGAAAAAAAAAATGAAATGAATGATATTCGTACACTATAAAAGAATACTATTTACGTTAGGATGATCCTCGATTTTTTTTTTTATATTGGATTTTCACTGTATTGCCTAAAGTAAAGCCGGTTATATTAAATCTGTCAAAAGCACTATTTTTGGAAAAAACGTCTTTCAAAAAAAAAAAAAAAAAAATGAGCAAATTGAAGCCAAAGTCCCCTGTGCATTCACCACAAATCAAAACCCTTTGTAATGAAAAAAAAAAATCTCATCTATTTTTTATATATATAAATAATCCAAATATTTCAAGTAATATTAGGAAATGGTTGAAAGAATAAATAATAAGTTAGTGTGTAATGTATTTATCGTGGTGCATAATTTTCTTCTCAGGAAAATGTATACAGTAAATCTTTAAAACTAATTATTAAATATCTATTATTTAATTATTTGAACGCCCAAATGAAAGTAACCGAAATCTAAACTGGTCAGAATTGCATTAACATGTGTCTTTGCGTAATTAAAAAAATGTTTGTATTAAAAGAATTAATCATTTTTTTCGTGTCATCGGTTGATACACGAAAATTGTTTGTAACATTTTTACCAAAATTGAAAAGAAGATTATACTACGGAATTTATACTCTAATAAAGTTTAAAAGTAAATCGGCATCTGCCTTTATTTTTTTTTGTTATTTTAGATGGATATTTGTATGCCGATGAAAAAGTAAATTTCTTTCCAATTTTTTATACTACATAAATAGTAAATAAAGCTGTATTTTAAAACCATTCGTAGGTTTATGTAATCATTTCAATCATGCTTAAATTTCATAAATTATATAATTATAAGTTATTACTTTAAAAATTCAAATTTCTACCTGAGCGGAATGTGAAAATTTTCGGTCACGTGTTTCTCTGTCCGCTCACGTGATGATTAACCAATAATTACCATCGTTTTCGTCTTTTTCATAGTTTCGGTCGGTTGATCGTCAAATCGCGGTTAAGGAATTATGGCTCCGTTTAGTAATGATCTATAGAATTATCTTTAGTTATATTCGTTACAAAGCTCTGTCTAATGTAGTATTTCCATCGAAATCTAATCACTAGATTAAGAGTTGTTCCAAGGTGCAATAATAATATGATATATTTTAGGATGGTTATCGTTATTTGTATTGGTAAATATGGTTAAGTTATAGACGAAAAGAAATTTCTTATTTGAAAAGTAAAACTATTTACTATTAAAGATGTAAGTAAATGCATAATGAAAATATTAATGTGAAAGTATAAAATAAAAAAAATTAAAATGAAAATTTAATTTAAGATAAATAAGTGAATAAATATTTAATAAATATAAGGTACAAGTTAGTTAAATAATTACTTAAATAAATACAATTTATTCATTCTCTTCAATTTTACTTAAATTTATTAGTATATAATTTATCTTTTATTAACTTTTATTTGTCATTCTATTATTTATTTATCTTTAAAAAATCACTAGTTAATTACATTTTTTTTTTTTAATTTTTACTTAGAAAACATTATAAAATATATTATAAAAGTATTAAATTTTTTAATAATATATTTTAAAATATTTAAAAATAATTAAAAATGACTTTAATTAATAAAAAAATTGCTTATAAATTTGTAGGCAAAACAATTGAAAGGATAACCTATTTTTATTCTCTTACCTATTTAATTTTTTTTTATATCTTCATGCTTCTTCTATAAATTTTTAATACTTATTTAATATTTTTATATATTGTAATTGCCAAAATTGTTTTTTTATAAATTATTAATATTTTGTGAGTTTAATAGCTTTAACAAAACTTATATTGTTTAATATATTTCTGTTATTTATCATAAAAAGATTTATTTTATTAATTTAACAAAAATCTGTGATTATTATATTATTTTATTTTTTCTTTTGATTATAATAATTATAATTCTATTTATAATTTATTAACTTTACCTTTAAATTATATTTTATTATTAGTTATTTTATCTTTATTATTCTATTAATCTTCTAAAGTTATATTTAGTAAAATGTAAATATTTTCTTAACATTTCTTTATAATTCAATTATCTATCTTTAAAATTTATCTTTATTATATTTTATTTATTAATTTCTTTATTATTTCTACTAGTTAAATTTCTTTATTCAATAAATCTATTAAATAATTTAATTTTTTAGTTTTTGATATTTATATAATATATCATTAAGAAGGTGATTAGCTTACTTATAAAAAAGTTTATATATATTACTAAATTTTTTATAATTTAATAATTATTGAAAAAACATATTTTATATTTAATAATGAGATAATAATGTATTTTGATAATATTTTATAAATGTTGTCAAATATTTATATATACTAAAGTAATTGAATATAGATAATTTTAAAGCTTTACATATTATTTTACATTTTGATTTACATAATTATAAATTTTTGTTTAAGTATAGTCTAAATTAATAAATAATATTTTAAAATTAAAATTTTTAAGTTATAATTGAATTTAACTTAACTCATTAGGAATTCTAAACATTTTACAGTAAAAAATGAAAGAAATTATTCAAAATAATTTTTTATTTTTTAAGTTAAATATGTTTTTTTAGTAAAATAAATTCAAATATAACATTAACTTTCTGCTGAAAATATTTGTATTTTTTATTTAAAAGTGTATTATATAATTTTAAATATATTTATATAAAAATATCAAATGTATTATACAGTCAACTCTCTATAAATGCATTCTCTATAAATGTATATCTTTTATAAATGCACTTTTTTATTTGATTCCAATTTGAACCTAAATGCTAAATGCATATTTTATATATATATATATTCTCTATAAATACACTATTTATAAAAAATTTTATAAAGTTTACTTATAAATTTTTTGCATTACCTTAATTTTAAATTAATATTATATAAATTTATATATATTCTATTAGATACACTACTTCTTTAAGTATATCCTTATACCTAATCCTAAGAAAAATGCATTTATAAAGAATTGATTATATATATTCTTTAATTATTAAATTTTCATTTGATAATATTAATATATATAACTTATTTCATTAAATTATAAAGTATTTAATTATTACCTTTTATAGAGCTTTGTTACTTTTAAAAATCTAATAATATTATTTTTTATATTACTTTTTAATTGATAATATTATTTTGACATATGAACATGATTACTATAACTATTATTTACAAAGATGTTAATTTAAATGTTTAATATATTTAAAGTATTTTTAAGTTAAAGAATATATCAATACTTTTATAATAGTTTAACAAAAAATCAGATAAACAAGAAATCATTAAATATAATAGTAAAAATGCAGCCGAAAATAATATGAATTTATTAGAATATGTAAAAGAATTTGTAAAAAAATCTTTTATTCAAATTTTTTTTATTATATTTAATATATTTAATCTTGATTTATATACTTTTTTTTCCTAATTAAATTAGTTATTAATTTTGAAAATCACGTGATTGAATTATCAATTTGATTGGTATCGCCTCCGATGAAGGTAAAGGAAGGGAGATAGTAGAAGGTGGAGGTGGAAGAAGTGGAGGTGAAGGATCCCACAATATTTGAGACATCATTAAGTTGCGCAACGCTTGCTGTCTGAAAGAAACCAAAGAAAGTATTCTTAAAAAAAAATGTTTATTTTAATTATGGATGATTTGTTACCCCGCGGCTCGATGATAAATATTAGTTAACTAACAAAAATTCCGATTTTAAAGTTCTGTAGAACATTGCCCGCACTACAATGATAGACAAGACATGCCTTGTATGCATAAAAAAAAGCTCAAAATATCAAAAAAAAAAATTTTTTTTTCTAACAAATAAAGAGAGAATTTAAATATCAAATAAGAGAACATCAATGTTCTCATGAAAATCAGGCGTAAAAGAATGCAGTTTCGTTATATACACAGTTAGCATTTTTGGAGCATACGCTCGTTTCCATTAGCATATTCCTCTTTGATAAGTAAGCCTGTTAGCAAAAACAAAAACAAAAACAAAAAAAAGGTTTTACTGTTTCTTTTGAATCTTTGAAAATATTAACAGATCTAATGTCTAATAATCAGCTATCTCAAAAAATGAGTGGAGGTAATACTTCACGTTCTAATTCGCTTCCTCAATACAATAATACAACTTCACCGTTGTTCGAACTTATGAATATTCCTAACCGTCTTGTAATAGAAAAAGTTTATCTAAATGGTCTTCATTCACTTAGACGTTTTGAAGTTCGCAATATATCACAATCTACAATACTAGTGAAATTGCGTTCTAATCTTGGTTCACAGATAGCGTTTCAACTTACAAATGAAAATCTTCCTGATTTGACTTCTAAAAAAGCAGAAATGGTAGCTTCGTCTGAACTTGGTTCAACTTCTATATCAGAAGGAAATAGCAGCATTTTGTATAATGTTTCATTAGATAACTCCTTAATTAATATTGCAACGAACACTGTCGCTGCTGCTGCAGTTGGCGCATTCGGTGATAGCGTGAATGGACATGAATTCAACCAACTTTTCAATTATGTAAATCATATAGACGAAGTAATTATTTCACCTGGAAGTTCACAAAAAGTGATATTGGCCTTTTTACCAGATGCTCACCATAAAAATCGTAGATCTGTGGAAGACCTAAATAAGCCTTCTTCAATTCCTGATGAGACTGATGAAACTAGAATAAATACTAATATTTTCACACAATCATCAGAAGATGAAGAAACTCATGATTTTTTTGAAGTCAATGGGCTATTATTCTTCTTTGCATATGTTATCGAAAAGCAACAAAATGTTGAAAGCATGGAAATATCAAATTTTCCTAAGGCTAATGTCACGGGAACCTATAAGAAGAAGTCATCTGCCTTCCTGGTCTCGACATATGAAACCGATCAAGGTTCAATCGATCTAACGTTTTTAAAGTTTTATCATCAATTATATTAAAATACAAAACTAATGAAAAGTTTATTTATTTCCTTTTATATTAAATTTTTTAGTTAACAAGACATTTAAGTCTGAAATTGATAACGTTCCTCGTGATATTGAAACGATGGGTAGCTCTTCTAAAGCAGATTATCAAATTACTGTTAAATTTCGTTCTACGGTTTGTCGTTCAGTATTATGGACGGACGTTGGAGAAACTGGAATTAATTTTGATGATTGTGTAAATGGGGGTACTTATTTCAAAGATTTTACCATATGGAATCGTTCTGAAATTGAATTATATTGGCTTTTGAATACGGTAGATTTATCGAATTCTGAACGTGAAGATTGGTTAAAATTTACAGACTATGATACTGGTGAATTACTCGATGATAAGCCAATACCTAGTTATTCCCATAGAAGAATTAGAGTAACATTTAAGCCTAAAGAAATAGGAGAATTTAGCTATGATCTACAGCTTGAGAATGCCAACGATTCTGCCAATACTTTACAAAGCAGAATTAATGCAGTTGTAAGATCAGTTTTAAGAGAAGAATCATTGGTCGTTAGTAGTGGTAATATCCTGGATTTTGGAGATTGCTGTGCGGGAGTTTGGAGTAAACAACAGTTGATTCTAAAAAATGTCAGTGAAGTACCTTTAGAAATTCATTTTTCAGCTGAGAATGCAGAGGTATTGTTCCATTTGAAAACAGATAATTTGATAGAGAATAGTAAAGTAGACCTAAAAGGTAATGATCGTTATGCCGGAGACATAACTTTTTTACGCCATCGTCATAAAGATGTTTCAAATGTTACGATAACTAATACTCCTATTAACACGAACGCTACAGATGAGGTATCTGTCTCTGGTAGTATAATTGGTTTACAGTCTCCATCGCCCGTAGAAAGATTATCTTATATAAATGAGTCGCAATCGTCAAGATCGGTAAACAAACTTCGATTCAATAACATCGGAGGTTCAGATATTGAGAGAGATAATATTTCTGGAAGGATTAAGAATACTTTAGAGAGAGAAAATTTGGAAAAAGAAATGTCGGATGGGATAACTCAAATTGAAGAAGTAATTTTTGGACCTGGAAGAGAGAAGACAGTTCAAGTTTCCTATCGTCCGGAAAAAGACTCATCCGCTAATGATTTTAAAGCTGGACAATTAACACGAAGAAACTTTCGAATTATTCTGCAATATATGTCGGTTAATTCAAGTTCAACAAGTATGAGATCGGGTGGACATGAGCGTAAAATTATTCAATGTAGAGCTAGGAGTTGTACTTCTTTTATTGAAGTAAATCCTAAAGAAGTGAATTTTGGAGATACAGATGTCGGTACGTTAAAATCGGTGCCTATCGTAATTACTAACTTATCTGAATTGACAGCCCGTGTAGAATTACAGTTTGTTTCAAAAGTGCTTAATTGCACTCATGATGAAATTGTTATTCCACCAAAATTATCAACTAAAGTCAAACTCGATATGTATCCAAGAAAGGTTAATGTTGATTATCGAAAGCAAATTACTGTTGTCAATTTGCAAAACCGCGATAACGATCAAATCATAGAAGTTAGAAGTACAAATATTGACAAAAATGGCGTCACTTTTCATTCGTTATTTTATCGAATTTTGACTTCAACCGGGAGTAATTTTATTGATTTTGGACCTACTGTGATAAATTCTCCGAGCATTCGAACATTTACAATTGATAATTTTAGTTCAAAGAACTTGACCCTTGAGATAACTTCTTCATTATCTGAAGAGATAGTTATGTATCAAAAGCGTATGAAAATCGATGATGCGATTAGTTCAGGAGATCAGAATTTAGTCTCTCAAAGTACTGGGGTTCATATTACTGATAGTGGAGATAATGAACAAAGCAGTTCCTCTAAACTTGAGAGGCGCGAAAAACTTTTAGAAACTATTGGAAATAAGCGAATATTAAGGAAACAACCTTCTATTGACATTAATAAAACAAATTTAAATGCGAGTAATCTATCAACAGCAAGTTCAACGATGTCGAATGAGGACAATCAAAAAAGTCTGGCAAATAAACGATATAGTTCGTCTGTTTTATCAGATAGTGCATCATCAGATTCTTCCTTATCAAGTGCAGCATACCTTGATTTAGCAAGTCCCTCATCCTTACGATCCCCAAGGAAACGTCCATTAAAGATCGCGCTGAATAAAATGTCTGGGTTTGCTAAAATTGGAAGGGTAAAAGAAAGTTTAGAACCTGGAAGTACAAGTAATACTGGTACTTTAAAGAACACTACTGGAATATTTAAAAGAGTTATTGATTCAGGCGAAAGTAATATGAACGATTCATCTCGTGAAAAATCACAAAAAAATCAAAATAGTAGTTCAATAAACATTTCAGTAAGAAATGAGAAAGCCAAGATACATAATAAAGAAACTTTATCAAGTATGCCAATAGAATCGCTTATTGCTATACTAGAAAATAACAATAATGGTAATTCACAATTATTATTCCCAAAGGCTTCTGCTGAAGTTTCTTATGTTCGCCAACAGATGGCTCTTTTGCGTGAATTGCAAAATCGTATGAGAGATCATCAAGTTGTTCCCATTAAAACGATAGAAATTCCACCTAAGGGAGAAAGACAAATAATAGTTGTCTTTACTCCAAAGCGACATTTAAGAAGAATGATTCAAGGATTACCAAAGAAATGTGATGCTAGAGTCTTCATTCGCCTCATTGATTTTGATAGAGAAATTCAACAGCCACAATTTGAAGCTTTACTACAAGGTGACCAAAGTCATATTCCTGTCAGAGAACTTATGGTTAATACGACTATGTGTCGTTCGATTATGGATTTAGGTCAAAAGAATATCAATTTTGGAATCATGGATAAAAATGAACGTCGAAGCAAAAAAATCCTCATTCAAAACCGAAGCGAAGTACCATTATTATACAACATTCGAAAATCAGGATTAATTTCTTCAGGTGACATTATGTTTAGTGCTGGACATATGGGAGTTGTCCGTGGATATGGCAAAAAAGAAGTCGAATTCACATTTAATCCTAGTCTTCCTGGACAATTTCTTGAAAAATTAGAAATCGAAAACATTCAAGATAGAGATAATGATCAAGTGCTTTCGGTTAAAGCTATCATAAAAAAGCAATCTAATTTTCTTATTCATCCGTTGAATTTAAATTTTGAACCTTGTTTTATTAATGACAATGCACCACGAGTTCAGCATATCACAATTAGTAATACTAACAAATTATCTCGTATGTTTGAAGTTCACATTGACCCACAAGATCTTAAATTTAAATGGTGTTATGGTGAGCTGAGCTTTGTACTTCAAGAGGACACTGATGGATCTTCAATAAATGGAGGTCTACTAAGTAAAGAGACAGAGGAAGAAATCGAAAACCTTGAACAAAAAGTAAAAATTGCAAAACGCAAAGGGCGAGAAGAGAAGGTGAAAAAATTAGAAAAAAAATTAGCAAAGTTACGACGTGGTGATACAGGAAAAGATGACGACGATGGTGACTTAGTGAAAGACATTTCTCTAGGTAATAATAACAATAATAATGAGCTTATTATTAAGGATGAAAAATCAGATATTCATAGCGACGGACAACGGACTCCACTTGAAGATTCCTATGTTAACGGAACGAATAGTGAACGTCTTATGCTTAGTAGACCAGCTTTAACAGTTGAAAAAAATTCCGATCAATCTAATAAGCGTCCTTTGATTTCACCTAATTTAATAAATGGAAAGGAAGGTCCCAAATACAAAAAAACCCAAACTTCAATTATATTTCCTATGGAACCACGTACATCAAAAACTATTTATATTTATTTTAAAGCCGTTGCAATCAATACCGATTCGCTCCAAATAGAAGGGGAAAATGCTAGACCTTCCCAAGAAAACATCGTTAGTCGAATTTATGTTCATGAGCATAAAAATACAGATATTACTAAAACCGTGGTTTTTAAAGCTACGGTTTTCTATGATTATTCTAGTTACATACAGACATCATCAGATGAAACATTTAGTAATGAATACAAGTCGGAATCAAGCTTGTCAAGCCCGGCACCCGAGTCATCGAGTGTAGTTTCGGACACCGTAGAGAATATTAAGTTTTTTACACCGTCTTCATTACGCAAATTATCTTATTTAATTGGTTCTCAATCACAAAAAGGATCCGATATTACTCCAAAAAGTGTTGATAAATCACCTATAATAGAACTTACACAATTTGGGTTCCCCCGTTCAGAATCACCCGAACACGTGGAGCACGTACCCGTAACTGATCATTTGAATTTGGAACCAGCTATATTAGATATAGGAAGACTTGAGGTTAATCAACGTCATAACTATTACTTTAAATTGTCCAATCGAGGTGATCATTCATTAAATTTCGAAATTATTGTCTCGGAAGATGATAAATCATTTTTCCAAATAAGTCAAATACATGGAACGTTGTCATCTCAAGAAACTCGTCGCATAGATTTTTCAGTTGTTGCCACAGTTGTTGGAAGACAAAATCACAAGTTACTAGTCCGGAACAATGCAACAAAAGTCGAATGTACTTTTGCTCTTCGCGGTTACGTACATTATTCCCAATATTTACGATTTCCATCGCTTGCTGATGATGGACAATCTGAACTAAATTTGGGTTATTGCTATGTTGACCCTGGACGGAAATATTCACAAGTAACACCTCTAATTGTAGAAAATATTTCCGATGATGATGTTTATATTACGGGTCAAAGTAATTTATCATTGCAAGTTTCCGTCTTCCTTGATGAGAATGGAACGCGTGGACAAGTTTCCAAGACTTTGTTAAAAAAGAAATCAGTGACTACAGTTTGGATCGCTTTACATCCAAATTTATTAAGTGTAGTTCCAGCAACAGGAAGAAGAAATGTCAATACAGGGAATACACCTGTTGGTTCAGTAAATGGAACAAACATTTCTAATGGTGAATGCCGCGAATTAATCGGTGGCATCAAATTTATTGTCCATGTAAAAGAAAGCATAAGTTCGTCATTTACACGAAAAGTTGATAATGATATTGATGAAAGTGGAGAATCAAATGATACAGAATTGATTGAAGCTATCACTCAAACTGTCAAGTTCGTTTCTTTGATAGGCCGTTCTATATTGTCGGTATCAGAAAAGCTAATATCTCTTGGATCGACTACTTCTATTGGTGAAACGTTCTATGGTTCTTTTATTGTTCGTAATATGTCCAGTCGTTTACCTTTAGATTATGCAGTCGAATGTCCAAACGGAACCATTTTATTAGATCGCACGTGTGGAACTCTTGTCGGATGGGAATCTAAGTTCAAACAATGTCAGGAAGATATTGACACCACCTCCACTCGTGATAGTAATTTGGTTGATAAATCAATGGCTTTAATTAATTTTAGAGTTACAACATCAAAGTATGGACTTTTCAGAGATAAAATTATAGTTACCAATAAAAATAATGTAGTTCAAATCGTTGAAGTAGAAGTTCGTTTGTTTGTTGACAACAACTCACTTGATTTTTCGACTAAAGATGATAGCTCTATATCAAAAAACATTTTTTCCGAGAAGGCACCAATGGGTCTTAAAAACCTTAAAGATTTTGGTAAATTGCCTCTACTTTCTTGGGAGAATGTTCCCACTACGATCGTTGTTGGATCCGAATCGAAAATGATAAACTCCAATTTAGAAAGCAAATTAGATCTTAAAGCCGTTATTCAAAAAGGATATCAGGCAACAGCAGTTCCGCTATATGAACATTGTGTTGAGATTTGTAACAAATCATCAACTGACATTATGCAAATTAGTCCAAGGAGTGATTTGGATGTTAAAATCAGATGGGGACCCTTTGGAAATACAAGAATTATTGAAGACTATAATGAGAAATTAGATGTCGTTGATTCACCGTTTCATATCTGTGGACCTTTTATTGAATTGAAACCTGGAAAAAAAGCTCATCTTTATATAAGTTGCCCGCAGCCTAATTCGTTAACTTCCGAGGAACTTAAGTTTATTGAGGTTGGAAAAAAAGTGAGCATTCAAGGTGTACTTCTCTTGAATGATGATATACAAAAGCTTTCAGTAAAATTAATAGATTTAAATGCAAAGTTTTGTGTTCCAAAGGGCGAATTAAACACGAGCGTGATAAATCTTGGAAAATTAGGACATTCAAATTCTTGGGCAGGAAGTGAATTTCAATTCATTTTGCGCAATTTATCAGAAATTCCTTTACATTATGAATTACAAAGTCCCGACTGTATTGAAATATTAGGAGTAATGGATGATGGTTCAAATGTTCAGAACAAAGGCGTGATTGCTTCGAAACGCACTGTGGAACCACTTATTGATCAGATCATAACAGCAGTTCTTAAGCCCCGTAGGATTAAAAATTTCTCTGCGGGCGAACGGACATTTTCCGTTAATGTACTAAACATGTATAATCCTTACAATATAATGACTTTGAACATCCAAGCTACGCTTACTTTATTTGAGCTTAAATTTGATCGGTTAATTAAAGGTGAACTTGTATTGCCTTCTCTTTATCATCCTCTCCCTCGATCAGATTTTGCTTGTGACGCATGGTTTACAATTCACAATATAAGTGAAAAAGATATTCGCTTTGAAATTGGAGTGGAACTTGCTCCTTATATTTCTAATTTTATCAAAATTGATATACTTTCAAGGTTTTCAAATTCACCATTAATTGGTAGTGTTTCGATTAGCGCTCACGGCTCAATCGAAGTTAGAGTTCGTGCTTATCCAATAGAAACCAGCCGTATACCTCGTGAATCTTCGTATCTCATTAATCCTGATGGTGTTACTTTTGGTAAACTTTGGGTGGCAACAAAACAAAGTTATGAGGATGATATTCTGCAGAGAGTGGCTGAGAATATACCAATACGTGGCGTAATTACAGAGTCTCCCACGTTTTCTGTTTCAACTAAGAAGATACGTTTTAAGACAGAATTATGTTCTTCTGATGGTGAAATTACTAATGATGTTAGTAATAGTAAACGTAAATCATCACTGACTCAGAGACGTAAATTATCTCCTTCGAACCAAGATGAACAACTGATCGAAGCATCTAATGATTTTGAAGATGTTTTACCACAAAGAGAATCCATTATAATAAAAAATTTGTCAGAGAAAATTCCATTATCTTTCAAAGTACACATCGAAGGCCCAATGGAACTTTCCGCTAAAGAGATTATCAATGTCTTTCCAATAGATGATAATGGATGTGGAACTATAGAACCCGGGAAATCGTTCAATTTAGAAATTGAACTAGTTGATTCTACAATAGCGGTTTCGGAAGATATTAAGATTTGTATTATAGATCTCAATTCTTTATCTAGTCATGATAAAATTGTTCTTGTTGGTATTGAATCTGTCGCTCGTGAACCTCGTATAGTTGAAGAAATTCCTGATTCAGTACCCGAAAAATCAATGGAAATAGGTCATAAAAATTTGATCGTTTCACAAGAAAGGCAATACTCTTACCAGGATATTTCCTCTGATTTACCTTTCATAACGTTACGTGGATGCAAAAGAATCGGAGAAGCTGTAAAAATTGGTGGTTGTTATGAACTTAGTTTAGGGCAACAAGACCTTGGATTAACTTCTATAGTAAAGAAATTGACTCTTGAAAATACCACCTCAAAAAGAGTTTCATATCGAATTAAAACTGTTTCAGCTAGTGATAAGAGTTGGTTAAATATAAGCCGGACTGAAGGCACATTAGAAGCACCAACTGATCGCCAATATACTGACGCACATACGATAACTTTGAGTTTTATGACGAGTATGCGAAATGTTTATTCAACATATTTGATAATCGAAAATTTGAACAATCCTTCAGATACCAAAACTATCAGAGTCATGATGGAGGTATTTTGCAGAATATTTATTTTTAGTATATGATTAATTAATTTTTATAAAGGTTTATAATAACTTATTTTTATTTATTTTTTATTTTATTTTAGGTAGTTGCTAGACAAAATTTAAGGAGAGGTGCCAATACTCCAGTAGCTAGCAATCATGTCTTCGATATTTACGTGAACGGTGTGGATACTAGCCAAACACGAATAGAAATGCTGAATTTATTTTATGGTTCAGAATATTCTTCGCGTAGCATGGTCATTTATAATAGGGAGACCGTACCGTTAGAATTTTCGGTATGTTTCTTTATTGTTTTTGTTCATCTATTGATAAATGTATTAAATGTATTATATCCTTCTAGTTTCAAACAAATCTTGATTATGATGATCCAACAGAAATTTTATTTTCTACTTCGAGAATGTCAGTTAAATTATTTAAAACACTTACCGTTGAACCAGGAAGTAATGTTCGAGTTTATATACGACTAAAACCTTTACCTTCTCGAGAAATACAAGAATTTCTTGATGGTGGCAATCAGAGAGATCCAAATTTAGTGGAAGAGAAAGTCATTGAAATTTATGTGAATTGTAGACTTGTAAAAGATTATCAGCAAACTTTAATACTTAAGGCAGAATGTAGAACGCCATCTTTACATGTTGATTATAATGATATGGAGGCTTTTATGGGTACATTTATGGTTTAATTCTCAAATTCATAATATCTTTTTAATGATTAATATTTATATTTATTTACTCTTAGGCAAAATATGGCGTCGCGATCCTAATAATAAGGAGGATGATGAATGGAACTTACAGTTTAATCCGGAATTTCGCGAAATAAAAATCAATAATTTACTTGATAAACCTTTGGAGTATGAAATTATTAATGACACGATGTATTTCAATTTGGAACTATGCAATGATGTCAAAGAAGTGGCTCCAAAATCATTTCATAACGTTTTGGTACGACCTAACTTAAAGTCTTTGATTAAGAATGCCGAAAGCGTTCGAAGGGTGAGTTTTCCATTTTAACAGTAGTATTTATTAAATGGAAAATTCATATAGTACGGCATCTAATTTTATTATTATTATTATTATTATTTTGAT